CAAAAGTGTCACGTACATGTGTCGTGTTCTTCTCCCGCAATCCGCAAGTAATTTCAACCTCTATCAAAGCCAAACTCTGTCTCTTCGTCGTACTGGGAGTCGCACACAGACGTTGGTGTGGATTACGATCAGAAGACGACGAAAAAACGGCACGATAGCTGATCCAACAAGGACTGAAGTGTTTCCGATGCGAGTGCGGTCCGCTTTTGACCGAAACGCTGAAATTAATGAAGTCGTCTGACTAGGGCCGAGAGCAGAGTAAATTAGAGGTACACGGCAACCATTAGAATACTTAACGAGGACGTCATGGTGGGAAGCAGTGCGCGGGTGTGATGATGAATCACTGCCGGCTAGCTCACCGCGGAGCGCGCCCAGGAATATTAAATTAAGTTTACTTATTGTCGGCCAAAAAGTCTCAGGCGCCGATCCCTCTTCTTCTTCCACAGTTCCTCCTCGTCCGCTTCTGAACCTTTCAGCTTCGCCCTGACTTCACTGTTTCTGCGAAACACGCGGAAGCAAATGGACGAGTGCAACCGCGAAGAAGGTGGAAAGTTTGGGAGGCGAAGAGTCGAAGAGAAGAAAGAAGTTGCGGTTTCTTCTTTTCTTTGGCTATCGCTTCTTTTTTCAACCGTCTTATTTTCCTCGTCGTCGGCGACATTCGTCGCTCCGTGATGACGCGGATATAACGAATGCAGAGGCAGAAGCAAGCACAGTCATAAAAGTTACGTCGAAGTATCTTATTATTCTTTCTATTTTCATTCCATCGTTGACGATTTGCAAAAGCTTGTTTTCATATTTAAGCAAAGGATAATGGTAAATATACTTCCACCGCGTTTATGCTTATCGAATATAGTAAATATAGTAAATATGCTTACACGGCGTCTTATAACCACCTTAAAATTGTCGATCCAATTAAAGTATTAAATAGAGTATTCATCGAAGATTGATTGTAATCATCTAGGTATGATTTTTTGGAAGACAAATGCGAATCTCATTGGATAGGGTCAGTGATTGGAACCTCCGACGCTATTTCAAGTAGAAAATACGGAACGAAAGAGCACAGATCGACATTTAATTTTATGTAAACCACAGTGCAGGCGATATACCTACTTCTTGATACAATCTAAGCGAAGGATCTGAAGCGGACATTTCATATATTACAACCTGATTGTAACGTTAAAACTTACGCAGACTTGCAGCATTACTTATTAGATTGTTAATCTGTTACAGAATCATAAAACATCGCGTTTGTTCTTGCTTTTCAGATACTAAAATAATATCAATATCGAAAGACACGTATTACGTAACTGTAAGATATTGAATAATGTGATAATAATTGATTTAGAACAGAGATGTTCTTTTAACTAACTTTCGCAGCGTAACTAGTTAAGCTCGATATTAATCAATTTACAAAACAGATATCGAAATTAACTTTATTAATACAATCCTTAGCCGCCGAACAATCACTTCCTTATAACAATCTCGAAGAACTTAGTAACAAATTCGCGACGTAAATCTTGCTCAGCTAAGTAATTCTCTCAATCACGGGTAATTTATCACTAGAAATCAGATTCTCAAAGAAATCTCGACTTCATTCCCCGTACGAGCCACGTATACAAAGACAAGCGACAAAGGAGATTCCATTGAATCTTGACGAGCACGTCGCAGGAGTTTACTTCCACGCGTCAACCCTGGCCGCTGTCCTTTCGAAAAGTACTTGTATCGCAAAAAAGGGCAGCCGCTCGAAGAGAAAAGAAGCAGAGGACGAAGAAGACTAAGAAGAAGGGGACAAAGAAGGAGAGCCAAGTAAGAAGAAACTCGGGGCGACAAAAATGGACTTTACAGGGAGACTTAGAGAACCCTGCGACCATCTCTTTTTTTTTTTCTTCCCTATATATACTCCTTTTTCCACGTGTTCCTTTTTTCTTTCTTTTCCACTTCTCTCTCCCTCTCTCTCTCTCTCTCTCTCTCTCTCTCTCTTTCTCTTTCTTCCAAGCTGTTTTCGTTTTCTCCTCTTTATCCACTGCCTCCCTCTTCGAGGCTGAGTCGTTCGGGTTAGCGTCTCCTCCGGAGTTGAAATATACAAAATGAAATATGAAATAATGGTTCGTGCCTTGTGGCTGGCTGAAGGCACGGGCGCACCCATATCTACGCCCCCATGCGCCTATGTACCTATACGGCCCCGTATACGCCGATCCCGTGTACATATGTACGCGCACACCATATACATCCGCCTCGCTCAAGTTTTTCGTTCTTGTCGTGAACATCTTACGTTCGTATTAACCCTTATCCCTGCTTAATGATATTCCGGCCTACCATGCCGGACGGGCATATTGAACGCAACTAAGGCAGATTCCAGCCCGTCGTCGTCGTCCGGCCGGCCAAGCCCTCCTGTAATTCGTATCTACGCTCGTCCGACCATTTTTCCGCTTCCACCACCAACGACCACGGGGACGACGACGACGACAACGACGACCTAGCCACGTAGCGGGCAATTAGGGGCAAGCCTCGTAGCATGAATTAAGAGTATCGCCGGCCAATCGGCGAACGAACCACAGCCAGTCTTATCGATCCTCGAAATAACGCCGCGATATCTTCCTCCTTGGTAGCTTTACCGGCACCGGTGATTCTAATAGTACGTATGTAGGAATGGTGAATGCGGATCTTACGTGTGGAAGAATTTCTAGGTTCCCAGTGAAAGATTGGATTGGATGGCGTATGACCGGCTATGTATGAAGTTGATTTCCATGTGTGAAACGCGTGGATTATTTTGCATTCGATTGTTTAATTAATATACTTTGCACTTTTACGCATTTGAAGGAAGTTGGAAGATAGAAAAAAGCGCGAAATACATAGTCAGGCAAAAAACTAATTATATTTAGAAAAATATGAATTTGCATAAATATACGCAATGTGTTAATAAGTTGCGGTTTTTTTTTTTTTTTTTTTTTTTTTACTAAGTGTGCTTCTGACGATGTTCAACGCGTTAACTGCCACGAAAATTTTATATATTTCGCCTTGAGAGTTATGATAGATCAAAGTATAGATACTATAGGTTAGCATATATAATTTTTGCAAAATATTGTATTTGCACACTTTCTCTTTGACAATGTTATGTAAGATAGAAGAATGTTAGACATTGTCGAAAATTTCCTAATCGACGAGGTTTATCTCTTTTTAAATGTTCTAAAAAATTGAGTAACACGATAGTCAACGTGTTAAGTAGATTGCATAAAGGTTGGTGTACTGGAATTTGAAGATTGTTGAAACACGTGAGATTTAATAGGGACGGTATCCGTTGTTTAAAAGATTATTCATGTTTATAAAAATTAGATAGAATGTGAAAGTTCAGGCATTCCGAGGGATAGTCTGAACGCGTTGACGAAACTAAAACGTTGATGTCGATTTGCTGTATATTACGGAACAAATATAGTATTATCGGTCATTGTGTATTCAAGGATATTATGCATCATTTAAAAACGCAAATATGCAATATATGTACGTTGCGTCTTGTCGTTTCCTGTTTATTATAGCTAAACGTATCGATAATAGAGTAGGTTTTGTCAAAAGTGATAACAGAGTATTGCAGTATAGCGAATTGCACTTTGTAGATAAACATTTGTAGAAATTTGCAAATATTGCTGTTCATTTTTTATTAGTAATTAGCAAACTATAATACGTGTATATCATGCGGGTATTTTTTAAAAATATTAATTGTCACGTTCACCTTGTTAATCGGTAGGAAATGTATTCATGCACGGTGGGTGTTAAATCCATCCAGCAGTGTTCTACGTACAAAGAAAGTAACAGCTGGCCGCGAATTTATGGCGTCTTTTATGATTACAAATTCACGCAAGGTTTATGCCCCTGCACTTATCTTTGTACATGGCGGCTTTGATTGAAACGTTCGAGTCGAGTTTCTCATTTTAGCAATAAATCTATATTTCTAAGGTTTCTTCCTCGTAAAATGTTTTACGATCGAAATTGAAGCATTTTCTTGGTCAACTTTGAATGCTTTTACAAGTTGACGTGCAAAATAGCGGCTTGTCTTGTATTAATGGTAACATGATAAATGGAACCACACGAATACTAAATATCAGGTTGTCTCAAAAGTTTCTTTTTTTATAAGGAAATAATAGATGCACCACGTTCTTTTGTTTCATATTATTTTATTCAATTACGTACGATCCATTTTGCAGTAATAGAGCAAAACGAAAGAAGGTTTTGGGACAACCTAATATATTACGTATTAAATAATATTTCTTAAGTACTTGCGTGTAACTTGCCATTATTAGCATACTTAAGAGACAATTACGCGGAAAATACTTCAAGTTACATATTCCTATTATACCCAATACACCAAAGCATCCAAAGGATTATTTGACATTACGATTACCAATCTGCAGTGTGTTTCCAAACGCGTACTATACACAGATGACAATAATCGAAGGAATATGGTAGAAATGAATAGTCCTAGATAACTCCGATGTGATCGTAAAAAATGTCAGAATACATTTCACATTCGTGCAGCTGCACGTCTTTAATAATCGCAAAAGGAATAAATTGAAACTCCAAATTTGCCGACTTATTGGTTCTAGTAGCTATTAAATGTTTATTTGATAAATACAATACTAATTACCTAACTCTGCTACATAAACAGACATCCGATAATTATTGAAATAAACCACATACATAATTAAACCACTACAACCGCAAAGAAAAAGATCGAACATTCTACAGCTCAAAAGTTCAGTCCCCGAAGGTATCTAGAGAAAAGAAGCAATAATCTCCACACCCTTTCCCCTTCCCTTTTATCGTATACATCCGCGTGTAACATTATTCATACAATTTTTATTGCCTTTCACGCCGCCCCCTGAATTCAGGAACACCGGTGGTAAGCATCGTTCCAATATATACCTACAGCTAACGTTGCAATGTCGTATCGAAAAATCGTGGCACCGTTGCGGCACCAGCTAACGGATGGTCCCCGTGTATTTCAGGGAAGAAATGGCGAGGGTTGACCCCGCAGGACAGAAGGCCGTACGTGGAGGAAGCCGAGAGACTGAGGGTCATACACATGCAGGAACATCCGAACTACAAGTACAGGCCACGGCGTAGGAAACACGCGAAACGGGCCCCAGGGGCGCCGTCCTCTCCTCCGTCCGCGACCAACACCACGGTCAATAGGTCCAACCCCTCTGGTACCACGATTCATCATTCCATGTAAGTCGATATCTCCTCTTGATTCGCCGCGATTTTTCAACATCATCCCCGTTCCGTCATCGAATTAATCGAGCGCGCAAGGTGCGCGATCGAGACGTTGGAATTAATTTTCATCGATATCGAGTTTGATAGGTGCAAGGGTTATCGGGTTGGGTAATGCTGTTGGTGATAGTTGGTTGAAGGTTGAATAGATGTGTTACTATCTGTGCGCATTCAATATAATATAAAATATATGCTTATTCGTAAATGGATTTATTTTTTATCAGACTTTATATGCAGATTTTATTTTCGTTACGTCGAATTATTGTAATCGTGTGAAAGTACTGCTGCTAAGTGATAAAGTATAATATGTTATTATGCACTTGAGCCTAATTAATTGGTATAGAAATAGTAGAATAAATACAATGCTGTACAAATACCTTTTATAGTATTGTAATTGTGATTGGTATTTGATACATGTTTATATTTACTTTATATGTTTTTGTTATTTTATGTAAAGATGAGAATAACCTGAAATCTGTTTACAACAAATATTTGGCAAGTTGTTTTACAATGATAGTCGAGTGGTTGGAAGATTTAACAAAAAGTAGTCGTATAGATGGATAAAAATTAAGTAGAATAAGGCCTGATGGAATTCAGTAATTTCAGAGTACAAAAACGTTATCAATACCAAGATGTTTCTTAAAACTATTATTAAAATATAAAATATACTTGTTCAAAAATATAGTTATAAATACTAACTATATTGTACACTTTACTTCGTCAATGAAAATACAATGTACTCTATCTGTAGAAACTTAAACTATGTAACAGATCTTTCGTCAATGAAGTTAAAATAGTTCTGCACCAATCATTCTCACTTTGAGTTAAAAAAGCACGTTTCAGCGAAACAAAAATATTCTTTCAAACGTTATGCATCGAGTTTCATTCGTGCCATCCTTCCGTTTAACAAGTTCTTCGTGTTAAAGACGTTTCTTGGAAGAATTACGAAGTGACGTTCAATGTTTATTTAAGGTCCAAGATGGACAGTTATCAAGGCATTCCTCAGATCCCGTGGGGCGGACATTCCCCGATCTCATCCCTGTATCACCAGCAGCAGCAGCAAGGTATTCAGGAGTACAAATCGGAGAGCAATTCCTTGTACGGTAGTCCTTATACGCCTATCATTCACACACCGGACATATCTCCAGTTGCCAGTCCCGAGCCAGATGGTGAGACATTGTACTCGCATTAATTACCGTACAGACAGCCGTGGAACTTGAGGAATTATATCTACATATATAACTAAATTATTAATGTTTAAATGAAAAATCAAATAATTATTAATTTAAATCAAAGTAATAAATTATAAATTATAAATTTAAATTACTAACAATAAATCACAAATTACAAATTGTAATTATTAGTAATAAATTCTAAATTAAAAATTAAAATTATTAGTAATTTCAATAGGAAGTCTCAATCATTTGCATCTTAGTTTTAAATGTTTTTCATGGCACTTGAAAATTCTGTTATTCTTCTTCTTTTTTTTTTTTGGTAAAAATATCCACTTTATTAAATTGTTCTGTTAAATTCCTATTAGAAGATCCTTTGATAAAATAAAACATTTCTCTTTAAAATGACATACCTCTACTAAAGTGTTCTATTACGAATTTCTATAGTAGCAAGTTATATATATATATACACACATATTATTAGATTATTATTATTATTTCATCAGGAAGCATATTCTATCTCTTGTACGTGGTTATGGAAACATATAGCGTTTGAATTATTGACGAATTAATCTTGATCAGGTGACGGAACGCATTTGCCATCCAATCAAAATCCAGATCCTGAACGTGATCTGATGGAGGGTTCGTCGAAGCAGCACGGCGAAATGAGCGAGCAAACGAAACGGTACACTTTCATGAGTACCGATAATCAGCTGCACACGGGTCATGCTGGTGGTACTAGCATATCGTCGTGTCAGAATTCTGGTGCTTACACAGATACTCTGACTTACAAAAAATCGGTGAGTAATGGCGTGCATACGAACGATCTTGCTGGAGACTATGAGGACAAATGTAGACTCGTTTAGTAGGTTGCTTTGCGATTACTTGCTTGACAAACCTATATCGTCGATTATTATAAAATTTCAGATACTGTTCGAAATACGAAATTCAAAATGGACGTTTAAAATCCTGAAAAATTGCGGACGGGTAAAATTGTAAATTTATTTCTACTTATCAGCAGAAACTGAAAATTTGATTTCACAGAATAACGCCAAAAGCAAGAAACAATGGTTTACGTTATTTCTCATTTTCTATTCCTTTAAAAAGTAATGAACGATACGTAAACATTTTGGTTCGTTAATGAAACACTATTTTTACTCAACGGTGCATAAATATCTAATCGATAAAAACATTCCATTAAACACGCAAATCTCTTCGGTTCGACTTAAACGAAAAATTTATTTCATACCTCACGATCGAACACGTGACACATTTATCGTAACGTTTGGACAAGCTAACGTGTCAATTACAGTAGGACGAAACACGAGTGAAAGTTTCAACGGTAATTTTTCTCTCTTTCAGGTGAGTTACTTAAATTTCGAGAGACAGCCGTCGAGTATAGCCGCGGTTGGTATAGCGAACGGGATGATGGTATCGTGCAATAAATTGCGCTCTGGATTTGAAAATGTTGGCTCTGTGACGGGGACTTTTTATCCGCCAGTCGCATCCCCGCACGATCAATCGTTGCAGCACTACACGAACACCCAATCCTCGAAGACTGCCAACTATTCGATGCAGTCCACTGTCGAGAGCAACTATAATCCTGTTCAGTGTGCCAATCGACAACAGTCCATGGGGATTCGCGGAGCCGCTGAAGGTTGTTCCGGTAATCCTTTATTCATTTTTACGTATTATATTCTGTGTTACAGTTGGATCAAGTCCAATACACAAACACGATTGGAACCCAGTTACTCTGTTTCTCTATTCTTTTGGATGCTTATTTAAATTTCTTATTGATCTTTGTTCGAATATTTGTTAAATATATATCGAAATATTTCGTTTCTTTTTTTAGACTTGTACGATTATTATGATGGCCGATGATGGGTCCTTTTAAGATCCAGAAAATAGGATTTCTTTCGGTTATGCCCTTCCTTTCTGAGTCGTTTGACATAGATATATATCTTTCCTTGGTTTGTGAGAAAAAATGATTATATTTTTGTGTGATAGAAAAACGAGCAATAATAAAAATGTCCGTGATTTAGAGGATTTTATAATATCATAACATCAGAAATTGATACGTTAAGTTGTTAATTTTGTTTGCTCAATTTAATTCTTAATAACATCTTCGTATTTCATATCTATCCTTCTTTACTTTTTTAGAAATATGCAAAATAAACGAGGAGTGGAAAGAAATAAGGCTGCAATCAAATAAATATCAATAAATTAATAAATAAAGTTTTGCGGGAAACAATGTTTTGTTTATCAAAATGTTATTTATAGACAGGATATAATAAAACTTATTTATTACATGTACTATACTACTTTATGTAACTTTACAATATTTTTATTTCAACATCTCGCAGATCCGTTAATTAATCATAAAAAGAGCTTTATATTTTAAGAAAGGACGTATGTCCATTATGTAGTTTCCTCAACGAGACCGCAAGTGCCAGCACAGATTTTCTTATTTGATGGGATAATTGAAGCAGATTTATCTATGCACATGTTCAAGCACGAGGGTGAGAGCTCGTTGGCACATTGCACTTACAGCTCAATTTAGAAAACTGATCATGTGCCTATATCACGTACGAAATTCTAACATGATAACATTTTCCTTCGTGTTTACTGATATTCGCCTTCGTATAAACAAACTTTTTAAGAGAAGAAGAATTTTTTATATGACAAAGCCTTTTTTATTTCCACTTGTCAAATGTTTGAATTAATCATGCCATATAATCAGATAAGTGTTACAATAACAAAGTGCAGATGTAAAAAGGACATATTAGATATAAGAATGCGGTAATTTCAGTGCTATTCTTACAATCTTTCATCATTCACTACATAATTTTCATTTTTTCCTGTAATCAAGTTCTATCTTTGAATTATCTAACTTCTTTGAAGTATAAGCGATAGATATAATTGCATTTTACAATTTCTGGGAATACTTGAACACAAATGAAAGTCTCATTTCATTGCATAATACGAAATAAATAAAACTGTAGCTAACTTCAGAAAGAGTTCGGCAGTATATAATGTATTCTCAAAGTCGACAGTGAGAGTAGAATTAGTGTCAGAAATTCAGAGCAGAAGGAGCAACAAGATCTAAATCTTCCCTCAGTTATTTCTTACAACATTTAAGACAAACTACACGCATACTATAAATAACAAATACATGCAAATGGTACAGAAAATTTCTTAACACTTTGCCAACCTGTCGAGTTAAAATCGCCTACCAACAGGTGTTGAAAGTATCGCACATTCTTGGTGAAACAGTAACATTTAAAATTAACCGAAACTCTGTAACTCATATCACTATATAATGCAAATGTTAATAAAACGAAATGTCTATGTAAAAACCATTTCTTTGAAAACATACAAATACGGAAAATAAATTTATTAGAAAATTATTCTTTTAAAATAAGATCATTCGAAATTTTTGTATACAGACAAATATGTAAATGTTACTGAAATAATACAATGTATGTACATACGTATAAAGAGCTGAAGAAAGAAAATAGTGCAGCTAGAAAAAAGTTTTAAAGAGTAAGTTCCACTTAAAAATAACTCTTCAAGTTATCAAGAATGCATTTTTCCAAAGTAACGTACCCACAGTTACGATAACTTCGAAGATCCAATAACGATCAACCAAGTTGGCCAAATCGAATAACACCATACAGTCACGCTAATTACTGCAACACCCCTAAGCGAGACAGTTTTGCAAATACGAACCATTTGCCTGTAACAATTCGAGCAACCCGAAATCTCTTTTCTGGCTTTCTCTTCTGCGCATAATAGCCCCTTTATTCGCGACGTCACGCGCGGAAGGAGACGAGGCTATTCTTCTCGACGACCGATTTATTTCCAGGTGTATCCCACCGGTACCAAATGAGTCATCACCAGGAGTACCAAACAGAGGGAACCAGCGCTGGCCAACAGCATCCGATTCTGGGTCACATGGAGGCAGCGATGGCCACCACCGCCGAGGAAGAACAGCAACAGACGTTACAGTTGGAGAAGTATTTCAAATACTCGCATCCGACCAACGTGGCGCATACCAGCCTCACCTCTCAGAATCTCCTTGACAGCAATCACAATTACGCCAGTGATCTTCGTTACTACACGCCCCAGCAGACGCAATTGGACATGTCGAACTCTCAGTGCATCGTCGACGATCAAGCCAAGGATGCTCGATGCTCGAACGTGGCCATAGGCCACGCGATGGAGCAGTACCATCAGGCCATGGATGTGGCCAAGTATTCGGAACACCAACAGCAGCAGCAGCAGCAACAGCAACAACCGCAACAGGCTCAACAGGGTCAGCAATCGCAGAGTATCGAGCATGTTTCGAAGGCGGACGACGATTTCAGTGTAATACTTGCCGACGTGCGCAAGACTTGTTACAGTAGCTAGTGTTTCATCTAGATCAGAGCTGTCTGTAGGAGAACACTGAGAAACTTGGTGTTCCTTGTTTCGGCATTGATTTCTTGCGGTCGGATGTTGTAGGCCTAATCTTTAATGTAAAGAAATCAAATTGTTTGGTTCTTGGTATAGTAAGCATTGCAAACATTGATTACTCAAGGCTGATGAACCTTAATACTTAACTAGAGGTGTAAAGATGTAGTAACCTTTTGTCGTCAAATATTGTCGCAGTGGGTACATTTAAAATTTGTCTTTACGGTCGAGTGGCTCCACTGCGATTGCATTTAAAATTTGTCTTCAAAGCCTGATGGCTCCGCTATGAAAATGGTAAATATTTATTGCTCCGATTAGTTGGTAACGCTCCAGAAAAATGTGGAGAACGCAAAGGATTAACATGCGGATGACGCTACGTTGGCGCCATAGCCTGCTTGCTTCCGGAGACAGATGACACAGTGACACCATATTAGTGTCATCAGCGTCAACGAAACAGAAAATTTCAGTCACATTGAGCGGCCACCACTTCGCTGCTATAGACAATATGTGAAACACATTTATACGTAATACGTAATGTGGTAAATATCTAAATGCAACTATAGAGGTAAGAGAAATGTGATTTGTTTAAAGAAAAAAGGAATATCCTTGAGTGCTTAATATTTGTCGTTTCTACTATAGTGAAAGAAGTCCCTCCCATAGACAGCTCTGTCCTAGATAATCTTTTTGATATGGGCGATCTAGCCCTAGTGGCTGCAGAGAAGAGTTAGGTGCTAACGTTTTTTAAAGAATCCGGTGCTTATACACATTTCTGTACACATTTCCGGTGCTAATGCTCTTGATCAGGAGGTGTGGTTGCAAGATAACAAAGAATTGATGATAGATTATTGTTTCTTGTTGTTTGAAATAGTTATTTTATATAGCTATTTTATTTACTCTTTTTAGCTTTCTGCACTCAAATAAATAATAACAAACATCATGCAAAATAGGTATAATAACATATATGTGCCTGTTTAGTTTCTCTTTAATTCAAGGCTGATTTCAAAAAATATGATAAATTATTGCGAGATGATATCCCCAAATATATTTTATATATAAAATAGTTTATAATTATGTATAACATATAATTATATATATATAATAATTATATAATAATTATATACGAAATATATTTGGGGATATCATCTTTTTAGTAATTACATAGTAATTTTTACATATATTATATATTATACATAAAAATTTAACCAACGATTTGAATAAAAGTCGTTTACGACATTCCTAATTAAATAAGAACTGGAACTATCGTCAAGTGCAAAAAGTTAATCTCGTCGAAAGAAATTCAGGGTGACACACTTACCACGTTATCTTCTTTGAAAAAAAAGTGAAACGAACATAGGGCGTGATAATTTAACAGGTCCCCGGTAGAAACAATTGTGCGCATCAGTTAACAGTTATTTATTACAGACAATTCTCGGCATTCGACAGCATGTCTGACTTAAGGTGACGAAAATAAAGTAGAGTAGCATCCTAAACCCTGACGCATAACAATATGGTGAGCTATAACGCAAAGCTTTTTTACCAATGCTATTGCAACCACACTTCGTAATCTTTTTTACTCGTTGCGACATAGCGATAAAAATCGAATCTCTTCGAACTTCGAAAAGCTTAATGCGCGAAGTATTTGCACGTAATGACGGTCGAGACAAAGAAATCAAGACATACCTCGATTTCCTTAATGTCCAGAAACGTTATTGCGGTTGTAGAAATGTCTTGTTTATTTAATTTATAAGATCAATTGATCGAAATGTCGATGTTCGGTGACAGAATCGTTGAAAGCAACGGCGTTATTGTTGAACTATTTTTATCCACCTATGCACTCATGGTACAGCATAGCACTGTATATTTAGAGCATACATGCATATTTCCGCGTCGAAAATAGATCGAATAATTTTCCGTAACGAATTAAACGACGTATTAGTTTCTCGTAACGATCGATGCTTGACGGCGGTCTACTTAAGAACAAAAATAAGCTACATCCTTTCTTACATATTCATCGTGATGTTTACGAAAATGACGTTTATTTCTAGCTTAACGATTTAATCATCTTATTTATGGTGCACATTTCAAAATTCAGATACTTAATGTAAATGGAAGATATATATATATATATTTAGATATATATATATATATAGAAGAAGATATATATATAGAAGATATATATATATATATATATATAGATATATGTTTTTATGGCGATAATGTAGAATCTTCTGTGAGAAATACTTATTTAAAAGAAAAAAAGACAATATTAATCGAAGTACCTTATTTCCAATAAGTGTACGAACTTTTCTTAAGCCTCCTCGTTGGCTATTTTACATGTGTATAAGCACGATCTCCTTATTTTCCTCTGTTTCAGATGACTGAACGAAATTCTCGTTGTAAATGTAGTATAAACGTAGCAGAACGAATGATTCTTTTTTTTTTGTCCCTTTTTTTACTCACGTAAGCTTCTACTTTCATAGTCTTTAATACTCTATGTAGCATACGATGATACCTATATGTAGCGTGGCAATAAACGTGGATATTTTATCGTTCGATCCTCGATTTTGAATACACTTGCGTAAGCGACATATGGAATTTAGGTAATGAGTGTAAAGAAGGGGAGGAGAACTAAATTATTATGATTATTGTATCGTACTTAATAGAGACAATTATCAACAACATTCATGGCTTCTCGTGTATTTTTCGACCACTCATTATCAAATTAATTCATTTCGCTAGTGATACATCGTTGGAGATTGAAACAAACAAATATATAAAATACAAAATTGAGAATGTATAGGATGTTTCGTTTTATCTTGTCGACCTTTCAATCAATTATCTAGGTTTTTTTCTGCAGCAATTACTTATTTCGTTAAAACACATTCAACATCTTTAATTTTCAAGATCATCTTTCTTTTAGATCTCGAAATTTAACTTCATAGCAATAATATTGTTTTTTATTTAAAAATATGCAATTAAAAAAAGATACGGATAATCATGAAAATTCGAAAATCGTTGAGGATTAACATTGCTGTTTATTATGGTATTTATTCTATACTGAATGAGATATACTTTTTTATACGGTTAAAAATAATAAAGCTAAATTAGCGAGAAACAAGATATTTACAACACCCTATATCATTTGAAATAATTTATTACAATATAATAAATATATTACTAATAAAAATTCTAAAAGATATGGACTAATTAAACTCGGCGATTGCTTACTCGTTCTTTTTATTAAATATATATAAAAAATATGTGTATAAGTTACAATGTTACGTGTAAAGCTGAAATTATACACGGTGAGTAACATCCAGTTTCGATTCGAAGTATCGATAGTAAAATGTTTAAATGCTATTAGTATATCCCCTTACTATACCCGTTTCCCAGCCCCCTATAGTGTTAGCCAAAATGAAATCTCATAACAGTGTGTGTGTTCGCAAGTTAAAGGTAATAAATCAGTGCCTTCGTTATTCGAGAGAAAGAGAGAGAAAGAGAAAGCTTTAACATAGTATGAAATTCTTTTAAACAGGAACAAGTGTTTGAAATATTTTCCTTAAGTTGGACCATATCATTAATTAATGTCTATACCCTTATGTCTTATGTTATTCATGTGAATTTCTTTTTATGTTTCTTTCTTTTCTTTTCTGGTTTGTTAATCATGCATATTAAATGACACATATAATTTATCGAGATACTAACAGTAACATCTTGAATATTCTGCAATTTGTCTATACCATGTTTGGTAATTAAGTATACAAGATGATTCACAAGAAACTGATCATCCAAATCTTTTAATAAATCAAATATTTTTCAGGAATAAATATGATAAACGCAATATTCTGTCAAAATTCCAGTCAATTTTCTTAAAGCCTTACAATTCTTTTTCAAAGAAAATTAAAGATTCAGTTTTAGTGAGACATCAAATTTTCATCGTTTATAATGCTGAGAATTGGTAGCCTCATTATGAAGATTCATAAAACAGTATCACTGGATCCAATTTTATACAAACTATCATACAGAAATAATAATGTACATATTTACATAAAAACAATGATAGCATTGGAAATCAAACAAGATTTTTTTAAATAATTTTCTCAAAAATTCTTAGACTGTGTTTTACGCTTTTGACTATGCTTCCAAGACAAACAGGACAAAGATTATCTGTGTACTCCATCTTTTGTGAGTCACCCTATAGTTCGTAGGTACTTATATACACAATGTACAAATTTATATTGCTGTTTGCAAACTTAACCGATTACACAGTCCGGGTATAAATTACTTAATCGAATTATATCGCACTGACTCATACGCAGATGCAATTCATTCCCGGTGGAGACTGTGGTACTATTTTCTTCGTTCCTTCATCTTTTAGTGAAATATAGTATACAATCGTTAGGTGGTACAGACATGAGTGAATCGATAACGACCGGTGTCGTTTAACGCTTACAAGTTTCATAGATGTTCGATTATAGATGTAAGTATGTGCAATATATGTGTATATATACTTATTATCTTTTTGCTCATTTGTTCACTTATGCTAGGAATTACGTTAAATACGATTTTGTGTCGGTGAGGAAGCGCGGTGAATTGCAACATGTATATATAATATGTTTATTATTAAATTGGACAGATATTGCAGTCTTGTTTATAGTGGTTTGCTATGAAACGTATACTCCCATTTTTTATCTCTCTCATTTAAATACCAAGCGCCCTCTTTGTACAAATAATGAATTTTTATTCCATACAAGTCAACAATACTTTTTACTCACTGAATATTTTATATATAATGTATATCCTACGAATTGTACACGTTTCAGTTATTAACAAACGATCTGTATATACAAAGACTTAATTCATTCTCACGTGCCCTCAATGTTTATATTTTGCATCAGCGCGTGCTTCTTCTCCTATGTTATGTACAATTCGAACTTAATTTACACATATAAATGGCAGCCTTACATGTCATGTATAAAATTCTGTACAGATACCAGTGCATTTAGTGCCAAGCAAACACACGTAATCATTTTTTACAAATCACTAGAAATATAAAAAACTTGTTGAGATATGAATTATTTAATTTTACAGAAAATTTACCGCTTACAGAAAATTCGATATTGACTTCGATATCTTCAAACTAATGATAAACATTACGTTAAATATAAATTGATAACTTTAACATTTAATATTGTTTGTATAATATAAGTTTATTTGTACCAATTTATTAAAATTAGATTTTATATTAATTTATCACTATTATGCATGAAAATAAATAAACATTAATTAAACAGCCGAAAAAGTATAGTTTACTTATTTCGTTAAATGCATTTAGGTTTGAAAAGTCTATATTTATCGACACACTTTCTCTCAGTAATAATCATAAAAAATTCCATTCCAACAGTGTATTTCTCAATTTGTATTATAAATTGAGCAACTCTTTTATATTTCTAATAGAATAAGAAAAAATTACGTGTATGAACTTAGACTAGATGCACTTTAATGCATTGTGGCACTACTACACGTGGGTAAATTAGACGCGAAAGTCTTCATGTTACTCTGAATGGATTATTTGTAACCTAGTGTTCATGACGTATACACACAAATATTTATTGCTAGTCTCTGTTTTATCCGGCTGTGAACAGTTAATAAAAACAGTCTGTTCAAATTTCTCGAACAATTTTACGCCCTCTAATATGCAATAAACATTGTTGCTTTGTGATCAAGTATGTATGTTCAGTAGTACATATTTTGTAAGACACATTGTGCATATAATGTAAGGTATGTTAGGAATGATTACATTTTTGATAAATGCAGGCAAATAGTAGTTTGGGAATGTGATGAATGATAAATGTAAACTTAAATAATTTTCATATAACAAGATATGACAACTAAGTAAGTCTTTTAGAATTAGTTTCGCTTTTTCTTTTTTTAATAGTTCCTTCGTTTACCGTACCTTGTTCTCCCTATAAAATATTTTGTTAGTTATCCTAGTAAAATACAAATATTACTGTTACAAATGCATCCATTCAGTACAGCCTATAAAAGTAAGAATTTATCTAACATAGGTCTGCCGACGCCCTGGTACATGTACCAAGAACATACTTCTAACCTGCTTCTGTCATTATGGAAGCCCCGATACCGATCCTATATTTTTATAGAAAAACACTGACATTTAGAAAGCATATAATTAATATCAACCCGCGAAGATGATACTAATACTCACAACTGTCTTCAGTCTCACTGCTAGTGAGAGATTCCATTTACTATAAATGACAGGTGGTACAGGGGCCTCACTAATGGACAGAGCAAATTTAAAAATTTTGCGACCATTATATCTAAATCATCTGATCCATACTAGTCTTCTTCTCAAATAGATATTGTGAAATGGAATATATATATATTACATATTTACGACAACTTTTCAAATGAAATAGAAAAATAATACCTTAAAAATTGTTCAAAATGAAATTACTCCAAAATGTCATTATAATGAACAAGTCGATATACCCTGATAAGAGTGAGCACAATTAATACTTGATATGTACAGACGAAATAAAGTAAAAAATTTGGTGAGATCAATGATGATTTGACAAAGATATATAAGTAGCAAAGGTACCTTTTGTTACAAATGTTTACTTTTTAAAGCATTTATATTAAATAAATATAATATTAAAAAGAAAATGAAATTGAAATTATACTATAGGATGATTTTTGTTAATGTATATGTGATAAATTAATATGTCAAAGGTAGTTTTGCTTTCTGATAATTTGAATAATCTTGCCCTCTTTCATAAATTAAAACCTATATATCTACAGTGTTCTTATGTGTCATTCATCCCATAAACAATTCTGCTTCATTTTAGAATAGTATGAGAATATAAAACATTTTTTACAAGTTTTAATGCCACATTTATATGGAGCGGCTGCTTTTTTACCATCACCTTTGCCTTTGCAAAATTTTAAACCACATGGGTACCAACCAATACATAATTCTAATGAACATGTACAAGGTGCCCACATATTCGATGTGTCTGCACATCGTGTTACAAATAACGATCTTGAATCGTTTGTACCTTGTTGCGTTATAGAATTTGTGCTGAAGTTGTACACAGCTGCCATGAGTGAAAGTTCGGATGAGCCTAATAAAAGAATAAAGAAACTTTGAAACTAGATATTATATTGGAAAGAATTTTACTTACATGTTAGTTTATCTATTAATATAACTTACCAGGTCTTTGAATCCACTGTTTTATATCTTCATTTCTAGTATAAGCAGAACCAGCTGCTTCTCCACAAAGAGTTGCAATGTGTTTAGAAATATCTTTGGATTCGGATACATCTAAGAATAAATCCATGGTATAATTCACGTGACCTTTATCTTCTTCTGCAACACGCACAGTGCCTGGATTTTTTTGCCGTAATTTAGACATAGCATCAGATGATATGAAATCCACTTTGAAAAAATGATTAACAAAGCATAAAACTTGATATTGATTTTGACCACGTTCTTCTTCACCAAGAACTAAAGCTTTTATTATTTGAACTTCCTGAAGGAATAAATAAAATATTTTATTTCTCTTTGAAAAAAATATAAGAAAGATATAGGGTTTCAAAATAATGAATTACATTTTTAAAATCAATGAGTTGTGTCACTAAAGTACCATCTGAACATTGAAATTCTAAGGTAATAACATCTTCACTAACATTGGAAGAAATCGTTTCCAATAGAATATCACCACCCTGTAAATTAAAAGTACATAGATAACACTATTTTGTTAAACTTTGAATTCGTCGAGGTTATTCGAGATAAATTATTAATCGTTAAATTATATCAAAATATCTTTCATTAAATAGTATATCTATAATTAGAATTTTATTGATTCCTTATAATAATAAATGACAGAAAAAGATTCGTACCTGATTTTTAACATTTATGAGCAAGTGAGTTGTACAAACACTATACAAATAGTGCAATAAAAAACAGACTGTAAATAATTCGTTGAATTTCTTCATTGTTGCATGTTGTAACTACTTTTTTCACAGTACTAACCACTATTGTAATTAACTATAATTGATCGACATTTATTAGAAAGATAAACACTTTAAATATAACCTAATCGTAAGAACCTCCTACTCTGTACATTTTGTCGCGGTCAAAGCACACATTCACAACCATATTGGCATAGAGTATGAACTAAATAGAAAAGTATACAAAAAAGACGCATAAAATACGTTTTATTAATTATTTAAGTATAATTCATAAAAGATACAATTTACAAAGGTAAGATATATTTTATACAAGTTAAAATTAACTTGCGTTAGGAATGTTATTTAAATAACTGGTAGTCGAGGAGTTAAATTAAATTAAATTGTTAAATCAAAGAAAATGATATTAAAATAAATCTATTGTAATATGTATAATAAATTAACTACAGATTAAGTGTAACAAAATTAATTACAATAATTACATGAAATATCTATTATATATTAATTTAAAAATTCATATATTTTTATTTTTGTAGTTAGCAACTAAATTATATGAAAGTAAATTAAAGTTTGTATCATATAGAAATGGTGTTAATTAAATACATTAACAAAATCGATCTGATATATCATTTTCAAATTCATTTTGCTTCCCGCGGTTTTAAGGAGATAGAAGACCTCTCTTTACTGCTTCTTCTGGAGGACGGTAGAGCTTTAGAGGATTTGCACGATTCAGCATCATTTCTGAAAATTTTCGAAACAGTTCTTTAAATACTCCCATTTTTCTCCAATTCGATTTAGGGTATTTCAATATTGAAAAATTTCGTGTTGTGAAAATAATTTATCTGAAAGAACTAACGTTTCTCTAACATTTACACGTTTACTTACTGACATTTCAATCGTAACTCAGTCAATATAGGAGGTGTTGATGGTCTTTCGATAGATTTTAAATCATATGTTTTCAAATGCATATAAACTGGAATCTGGAAATTTGTCATAAATTTGTCATAAAAGTATTCTACAATAAATCGATCTATTACATGTTCCGGGTTTAAATAACAATACAAATAAAACAAACGCTTTCTGTATTCAGATTTGAATATACCCGCCTCCAAAACAAAAACCATAGAGTACCAAGTTATCGATAGAGACATACTCACGTAAGGTAGCGACGTATCAAGAGCTATCGGTTCGATATATCTCTTCGGTATATCCGGAACTCGAAAAGAACTACCCAATATAGGCGATTCTAAGCCGTTTCCATAAATCGATGCAGACGATACTTCCTTTCGAATGCCATGTAAATCCGAATCGTTTAAATCGTTCGACCACGAATCGTTTTGCTCGATTACTTCCGCATTTTCCATCTCGATAAAGTAGTCTTTGCCGATAGAATTGGTGAAGTTTTAAAGCGCAAGCAGGCTGAACTACTTTCGTTGAAATAAAACTGAAGATTCACTCGACGCCAAGCACTAGCCTCTAAATAATGATTCGAGAATGCTCTTCAACGTTATGTCCGACAAAGTGTTCATAAACTGAAGTTCCGTAAGTCGATATTTGGTCGATAAGTTACACTCTACTGAACAGCGGGTACCATGGAATCGTTTGCTCATCCCCTCTGAGCGTGATTCTTTCATTCTATCAATGAATTTACTTTTTCGTGATATATCGTAACATATGGTAAAATTATAAATATCTAAATTCATATAAAACATTTAAAAATTACCGGGGAGAAGCAGAAGTCATACTTTGTATTAATTTATAGTAGATATTATATATAGTAATAGGTAAAATAACCTTCTGTCGATTATCCATTTCTGTTCAATCAGGAATTGATCAAATATACATGCACTTGATAAACATTCAATCTCGATTTTCTAAAAGATGAAACCTCCAACAAAATTTAATTTCTATTTTCGTCTTATTTTGAATCATAGAATCTCCCTGACTTCATTTGTATTACGAATTTAGATCCGTTTCAAAAATATTGTTATACGTTGTAAGTTTAACAAGCTTATTTTAGAATAATCTGTCCTAAATAAGTTCAATCAACTAAACAGCAAAGGCGAACTGTTATATTTTCTTCCTATACTTTCTATCTTTATTTAATTACATTTAATTATATTTTCGTGATACGTAATTATCAGGACCTTCTAACTACATATATAGCTTTGTCTGTACAAGCAGTAATTTAATTGTCTATCCCTGTAGTGCAAAAGAAAATTTAATTACCAGTTACATTCTTAATTTTCTTGACTTCATAAATAAAACTTTTATGCAGCATAAAGTTCAAACAAGTTAATTAAATTGAACTCGGAAAATTTATACGGTCAATGAAAATCTATGATATAGTAATTTAATTAGACTTTCTTGCAAAAGATACTGAACAACCTCGAAAATTGCATTTTTCGTTTTAGTTGAGTAATTCCTTTACGCTATAAAATGTTGGTTTGAAAGTAAGTAAATAAAGATACGTGTGTATGGTTTTTTGCGTATATTTGACTGATGAAGGTGGATGTTAGCGACTTCGGGTGAAAAGAATTAAAAAAAAAAAAAAACGGAACTATATGAAATTTCTGTCGCGTTTTTGCAACTTTGAAGTGGAAAGAATGAGAAATAAAACAAAATAAAAATGGAACAATGCTTTTACAGCTACGAAGCATGAACGACGAAGACAAAAGGAGAAGGGGAACGATTTTTCATGCTCACGAATTTTTAACATAGAAAATGAAGATTAATGTTAAACAAAAGCAACATTGTCGCTACTATAATTTTAGACATTGTGATTACTATACGCATTATAAAACCGAGTGAAAATGTACATATTGTGATTTTATAGCGGAGAAGATGAATAAAAAGCAAAATAGAAATTGTAGAGACAATCCAGTAGAAGATTAATAAAATTAACCTAGCTTACATTCCTGTTCAGAAGTAAAAAAAGGTTGAAATAAACTGGAAATGTTAGTACATTATTAAAATCTCTTAGAATTATTATCTTGTTTGAAGTCTTAGCTTGAAAACTTTTCAAATAAAATTTCTTCTCTATCTACATCAACCGTGCTTCTAGATCATTGCTTTAATTGGATGATATATGTACATAGTTACAGACAATTTAAGTATTCGTACTATTAATCTTTCCACTATATTTGTGTTACTTGATTTCAAGACTCAATTATATTCAGAATCATATTTTGAATAAATTTTCCAGACACTTTTATCTAATTCATTTCAATTTTTCTCATCTGTGTTTAAATGAAAATATTTTGAAGATCAATATGCAACTGTTATAATTCAATAACACTCGTTTGTAACTCATGAAAATAGTTTTTCATAAAACAAATAGAACAAATTTTTATCTGTCACTTTTTCCCTTACAATTTGAATTAATACTCATTTCCCTACGAGATTAAGAAATGCTCTAATGTCTATTTCTTAACATCGCTAATTATATTTTCGTTAACAATACTTCCATGATACTAAATTTCTGAACACAAAATTCTGATAATCCACTAATAGGTATCCTAATACTTACAAACGGCAGTATATATAAACACTTGAAGTTTGAAGCGGCTTGAATTAACGCCACTAAATCTGAATGAGCCTCTCTACTGTCTATAAAATCAGAACTGGAGAAGATTAGGGATGATCACGAAAAGGTAGAGGCATCGAAGATAGAGCGTATTCAGACTAGAAAATTATACAAACACAACATCCAGTTACGATAATTTGCTATATTACTGCAACTCGTACGGTTTCAAATTATCGCCACATTGATCATGATCTTTCACGGATACAAAATTCCGATCGATCGATCTTTTCTTTGATATAAAGCTAACCAGCAGGTATCCTAATACTTATGAACGAGAGTGTACGTAAACACAAACTTGAAGTATGAAGCGACTTGAATTCGAACAACTCCTAAATCTGAATGAGTGTTTCTACACCCTACCATTCAGAGAACCGGAGAAGATTAGAGAAGATCACGAAGAGGTAGATGTATCAAAAGTATAATGGAAAAGTTAGAAGGCGGAAGCATCAAGCGCCTGTCGTTCAACGTAACGTCTCTTACGACTACAACAACGTTGTGCTGATCGTCGACGACGGCTCGACGTCTCCGGCGCACGCATCTGTCCAGAAGGGGCGGAAGGTGCACAGCGTCGGCTCCGTCGAAACGGCGGAAAACGTAACGTGTTTTATCGATTTCGTCGGGTCGGCCATGTTCGTGTCCGCCACCGGTCAGGCGCACTCGTGTCCCACCGTCGAGAGACCGTGCCACCGATAGATTTTCCACCGTCTACACCGTCGTCGATGTCGCAGGGCGTATAACGATGCGCTTGTAAAACGCGACCGCCCCGTGTGTTTTTTCTTTCCTTCACATCGTCAGACACGAGACTCGTTCACGCTCGTTTTCCGAATCGGTCCCGGTCCGTGTCGAGGTCGACCAGCGAGCAACCAGCGAGCAGAGGAAGCTTGCGAGCATCGTTCGAGAGCAGGCAACCGACGAACAAGCACCGTGAGTACTGTTTTTTTTTTTCATCAAAATATCCCTCTTGCGTTTCTTTATAGCAACTATCTCTTCGTTTAGTGAAAATGTGTTTCGGCTCTACTCGTTGATGATTTTTTTCGGTTTAAATCTGGCGAGGAATTTCGGTTGAAGAAAAGTTCTACGGTTTCCTAAGCTCCCTTAAGAGGGCTGTTTCTTCGGTGCTCTCCTCCTTCGTTTAGCTAGATATCGCTTCCCTTTGGCGGTTCTCCGTTGATGTCATAAATAGACGTCTTTTTATGGACTTTGTGAAATTCCAGGTCTTTATTAAACGGTCTTTTCGATCGTGCTCGTAATGGTCCTTCTTAATGGCTAGGAACTATGTAGACGATAGCAAATTAGAGTGTTTCACAACAGAGATTACATGTTTCTTTGATTACCTTTTATATAGAACCGATATTTCTCATCTTACGTCCTATTCTTCTCCTTTTTCGTGTTAATCTTTTGAAAAGAAAAAAGACGAAAGTTATTTTTTTTACATTTTTTCAATATAAACTGTACCTCTGTCGCCTGGTGATCAGTCCTAGATAAGGACGAAAGGGTATAGGGATAAAAGGGGGGAACATTTCGTGGGTATGAGCACAATCTAGGCCTTCGATCATCATGCAAAGCAAGCATTTTCGGTCACTTGATCCCAGAACTATTTCCGAGAACGGTCGTTGGACGATATTTGGCTCTGTCGTTTCAAAACTTTCCTTTTTACCTTCGACTTCTTCGTTTATCGTCGCTCGCCCGCTCGTCATCGTCCCTTCGTAGTTCGTCCATCTCTTTGGAACCGTTCCCCACCTCTTTACTCTCGCAGTCCTCGGCGATTTTTCTTTGTACTCGACAGCTTTTGTACCGATCGTGCACCAACCAGTCAACCGTATCGATATCGATCCACAATAATTCTATTCCTTCGATTCACTGCTCGTAGCCTTCTTTTCTTTTTTATTCCTCATTTCACCGTCGTTCCTCGTCGTGACACGAACGTTTCTCAGCTGCACACACCACTCGAAACGTCGACCAGTGAAAAACGTGGGCGAGCCTGGCTAATCGATTTGCCTCCTGGCGTGAAATTTTCTGCTTCTAATTTTCTCAAGTGTTCCATGTCGCGACCCGATTACAGGGCCAATCCTTCCGCGCAAAACGAGCCAGCAACCAGTGAATAAAGAGACATTTCATGGACTCGCGGATCCCCGCCTTTCAAATTCCCTCCTCTCTCTCTCTCTTTCTTTCTCTTTCTCTTTCTCTCTCTTGCAGTCCTTTGTTGACGCAATGATAACACGCTTTCCGACCGTAAATGCTTCCAAAACGATCAGCAGTATTTTGCCTCGCGACTCTAAAATTTGAATTGACTGTGCCGATAAATTTTTGCACGAGCTAGTCGTTCACTCGTATCTTGTTATAATTGTTTGGTGAGATGAAATTTAGGCTTTTGGTTTTTTGGTCGGTTTTGATTTGGAGGCAGTCGACACCCAGTTCCGCCGTTGCTGAGTGGTTATAGGTGGATGGTATCAGTGATCGATTTGATTCACTGGTAAATGGTTTAGGTTTCTTCGTGCTTTTTGGTTGCTTGATGGTCTTTTCTGTGCGAATGCATTTCAGCGTTACTTAAGAATATGAAATTTAAAGAGAAGAGGGCTTTGAAGATTCTGTTTATTCGTGTCTGTTATGAAATCTTGGACTTCAAATTATTGTTTTGTACAGAGGATAGTCCTTGATAATTTTATTTCTGACACTATGATATTTTATTATATTTTGTTTTGTTCAAACACAAACGTGCGTATATTGCAGTATCTGAACACTGTTCTCGAAGATATTTAAAGATATGTGGAAAAATGCTTCATTATAGTCGTAGTTATTCTATTTTATGATATTTAACTTACTTTTCATTATATCGTACCCTTTCTTTCTTCTATATATACATTCTTAAAAGAATATTTATGATTCTTCATTGTTTAGAAGAAACCGCATAAAAGTTTCTATATTCTGCAGTTATACGTGGTGGTTTCCGGCGCTATTGACAAGCGATCAGTATGTTCAGCTTTTGTATAACGACTCTACGTTATTTTGTTTCGCTTTAAAAACATGTTCTATCATGCGATTCCTTCGACATTTCATCATAAAAGTCACTACAAATTGTACGTCAATATGTGAATAATATTTCATCCAAGTAAACATTTCATATCTGCGTCCTTTACTTTACCATTTAACGTTACTAAATTACATATAAAGCGTAATTTAGTTAGTTTGAAGGATCCTCAATTACTTTATCTCATTTACGTCAACATGGTCGAGCATATAGATTTTAATTTAATCTAAAATTTAACAGATAAAATTTGCAGTCGCTTAAATAGTCAAGTAAAAAGATTTATCGAGAAATCAAATTCTAATTATTTATATATTTATATCTATATAAATGAATATTTTCAAGAGAAAACTGGGATTTAATTCAATCCACTGGTGCATGAGACTTGTCAAAAATTTGTGTTCATAAACGTTTAACCAATTATTTATTGATTCATTCTTCACACTGCTAAAAGGCTTTAATGATCAAATAGAAAAATTCATCGGAGAACAAAATTTTAATTACCATGATCCTCTTGCGCAATGATTTATCAACAAATAATCTTAGTGAATTGGCAAATTATAGATTGTAGTTTGTAGACTTCTCTTGCACAATTTTATGTCAAATAAACGTAGAACTCATAAAATTTGACGCTCCTATGCAAAGAAATTTGTCGACACTGATAGCTTCTAACTTGTGATTTATAAAAATGAATAATATTAGTTAAATAACATAAGGGTCTCCATACATTTATAAACAAATACGATCAAGCATATTGAATTGTATATTATAATTGTATATTGACATGTGTGTGAGATTTACAGAATTTGTTTTACAAACCCTCGATTAATTATGTACCTTATATTTCTTAAATCAATTATCTACCAGTCACACTGTCGATAAATTCCAACAATAAAAACGAAATTAATTGAGAAAATAGATAGCAAATTCTCATTAGCATATATTTTAATATGCAACAGAGAATGAATCAGAGCGAAGACGGATAATTGAACGATGATCGCGTTGAGAACATCCTTGAGAAGGATCTAGGCCAGTCGATAGTCTAACGAACGCTATCTTATAATATAGAAATCCGTATCAGAGTGAATTATTATTGTGATAAAAAGAAATAGTTATACTATCCCTTTACATATACTACGCTAAACGTAGTTAACGTGTCCCCTCTATATAATGAAACACCGTGCGACTCGCATCGAGATTGAAATTATAAACTAGTGTAGCGTTTCGCGTGAGTCAACGAAACGTCAACGTAATTGCGAAATCATCCGACTGTGCCTGTCCGTGATACGAATGCAGAAACTGGCTTTATTAATACCGCTGTGTTAATTCAAATTGGCGTATCTGTCCAAGAGTTGGTTTTGACTTTTAGACGTTAAGAACGAGTTTTAGCATTTAACGATCAATCGTCGATTTCGCATAGGAATACAAGACATTATATTTTCGATTTTTATATACTGATACGGCTTTCTTGTTTAATATGCGCATAGGTAAACCATTTCTGAACAGTATCTGACAGCAGTGATTTGATTTAAACGAAAGTTGCAAATACGACCTTACGACTTGGCAGAATTATGGCTAGAGCTAATTACGGAACTTAGAAACTTATCGTTTATATTTTAAGGACCAAGTAGAAAATCGTAAATATTGAAATATCTTAAAATTTTGAAACTTTGGCTTTTATCTCTTTTTCTAAGGAGATTTTAGTTCAAAATGTTTGTATAACCCTCTTATTTAGAAAAAAATAACTATTCAAACAGAGAGCGACAGGTCATGAAAAATTCAATATTTACATCTAAAATGCTATAAAATTCATTCAATACGTTAATTCGAGGAATTTTCATATATTTCGTGAAAAACATGTTTATGTAATCTTTGATCTAAAACTTTTCCATTTAAGAGAAAAAGAAAAATTTTTAAGGAGAGAAAGATAAGCCGAAGTAATCATTTCAATTCAGTCAGTATCGTTTCGATAAATTTTCATATATTTCGTCCAAGAAATCTACAGACATTTTATTCAGAAGAAAAAGAAAGACGATCGAAAGAAAGTCAAACAGGTCGGAGCAATTTTATCGTACAGAAATAAATCGCTATGGTCATTTTTAGCCATGTCACGTCGGATTATCGTGACACAACTATATTGGAGGAACACATGAAAAAGTACTTTTTACTCGAGTAGAATGGAAACTTAGGAATATCTGAACACTTATAGACGAAGAGACTGGAAGAGTATAGTTAATATTATTGGACCAGTATCTATAAGTACGTGGTTGTATCGATTCGTGCTTCAGCGGTTCTCTTGTATCCATGAATGTACTATAGACTATGACACGTTTATACATGAAATCTAAATTCTATATTGAATTAAAAACGCGATTTAAAAAGTAGGTCAGATTTATAAATCTTGTAGATTTGACTGTAATTTTTCGTCCCTTTTCTAGTTAAACATTTCAGAACAAACATTACCGCATCTACTATTTTTATAGTAACTTCATTGTATTACTATTTTTACGGCAAGTCCATCGTAAGTTCCATATTATGGTAAAGATTATGTACTATAATAATTGTAATATGCTCCAATTAAAATCCTCGTTATAACATACATAGCTTGAACGTTATTGTAAAATCAGAATGTAAAGTCAACATTATATTCCTAAATACTGAGTAATTTCCCATCGTAGTTTTAAAATGAATATAGTTCCACCTGAATATAAGTGTTGCTTTAATTCCTCGTTTGGTATTTTTTTGGTATTTTTTTACTACTTCTTTCGTTGTAAATTCTGTTGCAATCAATTTATAGGATTTCATGAAATTTTACACCAATCACAATTCTATTACTTTGATGCATCAAGTCAAAGACTGAAATTTTAATTCAAAGGATAAGATCATTTTTAAGGCAAGATAACTTTAATTCAAGGCATGCGACCAATAAAGATAAAAATATTTTTAAAGGCAGATATGTTAATTGGCATAATTATATTAAATATTATATATTAAATTATCAAAGTTAAATAATTTTGAGAAAGATTAAATGTCTTGTTGTTTCTTTCTTTCTCGAAGACTCGTATTAGTTTAAATCAGATATACTAAAAATTAACTGCTAAAAATATATAATTCTGTCGGATTATCAAAATTAAATTGTTATTCCACGGCCTTATATAAAAATTTTGTTTATTCTAGCATAAATTTATTCAAAGCACACGTCGATCTAGCTTTCTCAAGTATCTGCACTTTTAAAGAACGCATAACCAATTACAAAGACAATAAAACGCTCACTGAAAGAAGAAAACGAGTTTAGATGACAGTGTCAGAACTCGAACTAGCGAGGTCCTACGGCTTGTCTTCAATTATAGATCTAATAACACAGAACGGTTCCTTCAGTCGCGTTTAACGTTGTGGGACGGGCAGTTTACGGATGGGACGAGAAAATGTGCGCGATTTTCCTGATTAAAGAGCACTTTCTTTGAAACACTTCCCTTCATTCTTCTCATCCGCTTCCATAAGCTTTACTTTTACAGTGAACTTTACGCAACTATTTTCTCATGATCGTCTAAATATTCTGAACTTTTTTCCTTAAATGTGAAGCTCGTACGATAGCTAGTCACGCATATAATTTTTCGTTAATTTTTTGATATTTAAATGTATGAAAAATATAAGAGTGATTTTAATATTTCATAATTTAGCGTGAAATAAAGAGCGATAAGTTTTTCTTACGATACAAACATTTTGAGATTTCCATAGTGATAGAAAAAATATTAATACTACGTGAATATTACGTGATTGACTACTATATACACCTTAAAATTTCAGTCCCTTACTTTCTAATATCGAAACTTTTACATTTCTTCGAACGAATATCGAGTTACGTTAACATATCGGATATCCAGATTTTACGATAAAAGTTAATATCAAATTCCATAACGATGCAAAACATGCTGAAACTCAGGCTATTGAATTCCACTGGTTTCGAACCGGTCGAATCGATTTTTCAACTAATTAGCAGTTATATTAATCCCACAACGAAAAGAAGATATAATTCCTGCAAAAAATACCATGACGATCGACTTGAATGATGTCAAGCACACTCATAATCGTCTGTTCAGGATGGAAAAAGAGAGAAGAGTCGCTTGAATAAAAATCCCCCGAGGCAGTTTTGATCGTCTCTTCAAGAATTCAGTTCTCCAGCTTTTTGATGAGCTTTTGCGTGTTTTGGAAATTTGATGCCCGAAGCTTTCACGATCGAAGTGCGCGATCATAATTAAAATTTCAAAATCTGTCGAAACATTTTCCTCTTTCACTTTGAACGAAGTTTATACGCTCGTTACTTCACGGTGAAGAGAACCTAGAATATTTCCCGATTCTGAGGCAACCATATTCCGGGTATTCTGTGATTAAAGACGAAGTTGAAATTCTGTTGAAGTTGTAGAAATGTTTTCTTAGCGGTTTTCAAACTGGAAGTTTAATTGTGACACTATATGTCTAGAAAGCAATGTTACTGTCTGACCATTTGTAGGTAATTGTTATTTCGTGTATGTCTTTATTTCGATTAAAATTTTGTTTATTTTGATTAAAACGAAATAAAAGGCTAATTTTATATTACGAAGAATTTTTGACTATTTTAATGATATAATATAGACCAGAAGGTATTGCAAGCAGCATCAAAATTTCAATGTTTGTGTTACACAATTAATATACATATTACAAGATTCAAGTGTATAATTAAACACACGATTTGATTAAGCAAATTCTCATCTAACTCAAACACTTTTTACATGACTATCACGAGCGAAACGCATTTTCTTAGATGTAACGAAAAATATACATATATAACTATAAAATAAATATGAAAGTGTATACGTGTAAACAGTATATAAAAACAGAAACTAGGACAAAAAATGAAAACTTCGTTATGAATACTCTGTCGTGGAACTTTTTTTTCGAGTCAGAAAGAGAGGCGACTGAGAACGTTCATGTAAAGGAGTTACTCAATGAATCTCAAGGTTTCGTGAATTTAAAAAGTTTCACATGAAATATATACAGAAAATATTCCGCAGCGAAATCGCGAAACTTTGCCAGCATGGTCGGGAAACTATTTCAAGCAAAAAAATATTACATAAACCATGAGTAAATTTCAAGGAAGTTCGTTTTGAAAGTCTGAGAAGTTTGTTGGTAGAAGCGACAAGTATTACGCTATATGATTTACATTTAATACCCTTTTAATTTATTGTATGCAAATTAGCTTCGTGCTATATATATATATATCAAATTCATATCACTTTTGTTCATCTTCATAAGTAATCATAATACTTTGACGAGGTTAAATTCTTGTCAAATTAATTTTCATTCCCACTCTGTGTGCATATAATAAAATAATAATATAAAATAATTTTATATAAGGGTGGTTGGTAACTGGTGGTATAAGCGGAAAGGGGGTGATTTTACGAGAAAAAAGAAGTCGAAAATATAGAATAACAATTTTTCGTTTGAGGCTTTGTTTTCGAGAAAATCGACTTTGAATTTTGGCTCGGTACGCGTGCACTTTATCACGTCTCGTTATAACGGATCTCACTGTAGATTTAAAAAAAATTAAAAAAAAGAAAATTAAAAAAAATGTTTATTCTATATTTTCGTCTTCTTTTTTCGCGTAGAATCACCCCGCTCCCTTCCGCTTGTACTACCAATTACCAACCACCCTGTATATAAAGATTCCTGCAGTCTATTTCCAAAATGTATCTGTCGATGTTATGAATAAGGAGAATCACCAAGATTCGGTAGCAAACAGTATCAGGAAGCCACTATTCTTCGAAATTAATAGCTAACTAATTACTACAATCTGTTAACAAATAAAACTTCTATAATTCGCTTCTAGAACTTTTACCAAAGTAAACATTATACTATAAAAAACTGTAAAGTAATTTTTTCGAGCGATTTTCCGGCCATCGCGAGGTTCGTTTACGTCGGTCACTAGATGTGAACGATAAGGAGTCAGCGAAGCTCGTAAACGCCGATTGCGTTATGAAACTACTGCGAGCAGATTCGAGACGCAGCGGTTAAATCCCATTGAAAAATATCCCTATTGATTTTACACATTCGCCCGTGGATATATGAGACGATAGGAAAGACGAGGAACGGCAGGAGGCACACACGCCGCACGGTTTCTCGCGCCAGATTCATTCTGGTCTGGATCATTTCGCGAATTAGCCTGAATTCGTAAGTCAAACATAATTAGCAAGCTTCGTGAATTCCAAGCACGTTCAGATCCAGCTCTTTATTTGCTCCGTAACGTTCGCTGCTCGAAGATCCTGTTACGAGCTCGCTCGTGATGCTGAATCGTATGTTCACGCTCATCTTCGCACTCGCAGTCTAAGCGTTTGGAGTCTAAACGAATGGAAAGTAGTTGCTATGACTGCTATTAAGCTGATAATTGCCTATGATAAATGCTTAAATTATTTTCACATATCTGGTAGAAAAGTGAAATACTTGAGATTTAACCTTGGAAATGCGAATCGAAATGACGTAAAATATACATACGTAATACGTGTAATCACTTACAAGAGTATTCGAGCACTTTTCGTGGAAGTCTCTTATGAATATATCGTGCGTCTTGTAAAAAAGAATTTGGAATTTCATCAGCGATGCAGCGAGTACAAAAGTCACAACGTAGGATCAAATAAGAGGAATGAGCATATTCTTTATCACGTTACATTATATAAATATTTTTGTGTTTGAAAATGTATAACGCCAGAGGTATTTCATTCTAAAATTTGAGAAAATATTTACCCAAAAATCTTCGTCATAGCAATTATCTGCAAAGTGCGGAAAACAGGAAATCTTTGAGTATCGAAATAAATAGTACATGTTCGAGAAAAATGATGCAAAGAGAAAAAAAATGGTCAACAACCTCAGAGAACATCAACTTGTGTACGTAAATAAAAGAATGGATATTAATTAAGGAGTAGACACGTGTGTACTTACATCGGCTAGAGTTTAGCCGGTAAACGAGCCAGTATTAGGAAATCGATGCAATTGTTCTGGAACTTTAGATACGAAACTCGATTATGGCGAGAAACTATCATTACGACTAAGTGGTTAGCCGATCCCCGGAGGGTTGAGTGACGCGTGAAACCCTGGAAACACGACGCCTTTTCATACCCACGCGTCTCACAGTAGCCATAGCCAGAAGAGTACAGCTTCCATTAAAATTCGTAACGCGCTTACGTTAAAGTGAATCGTTCTATCTACGTCTCTTTCCGTAAAACGTTACGCCATAAATAGAACGATGATTCCTTACGTTCTCACTGGAGTACGAATATTTATGCAAATTTACCGTCGCGATTTACCATCGCGTGAAAAACGTACCTTCAGCCCAGGAAGAGCACAAGTTATTCCGAGAAGTTTCTAACAGCTGAAGTGGGATTCGAAGACAGTGAAATTAAAATGTACGTTTTTCTTCGTCGTTTTACATTACATGTTTATGCAAACTCACACGTCCTTACGAATATAATTAGAAAAAATGGAACCTGGGCAGAGATCAGTTTTGCCCACCAAATATTAGAATGGATACTGCACCTTGAATATTTTATACATTTTTGCATATTACGTACATCTTGTGCATTTTTGCATCTTTAAATTTTTCATAAATGCATACAAATCCGCACTCTAGTTCTCGTAAATTTATCGTGCGATCTTGTTCTTCTTCCATGGAATAATTATTAAATTGCGAGGAGAATTTTGTTATGGAAATGTTTTTTTGTAAATCTTGCTTCGGGAAATTTCAGTATAATTCAGTATAAAGATATTGCTATTCGGATTCATAAGGAAAAGCTCGTTCCGATTTTTAAGGAAAATTCAAACGCAGTACATTTCAATTTCGATACACATTTATTGAACTTTATACGTGCCATTTTGTTCCACGACCTTCCTCCATCTTTCACGCAACTTGAATATTCCATCCTACCAGAATCTCTCAGATTTTTCGGCGAAAAATTTTTCAATATGATTTTTTACGTCGACCGAAAAGTTAACATTTTTTCTATCACGAGAATTTTATAATGACCTAAATAGGTGAAAATCTGAGGATACGATGTCTGATGTATACAGTGGGTGGGGTAGCACATCCGGACCAAGCTCCAACAGCTTTTGTCGAGTAGTCAAAGACACACGAGGCTGTGCATTGTCCTGATGAAACACGACGCTCTCCCGATTCGTTAGTTTTTGTTCAATTGCTCTCTTTAATTCGTCTAATTGCGAGCAATACTTAAATTTATCGTCTGGTTGTTTGGTAGAAACTCAATACAAGAATCCTTTCCAATCCCACGAGACACAAAGCATGATATTCTTCCGATGAAGATCGGCTTTAGGGGCGACTAAAGGAGATTCATTCTGCTTTCCAAAGATCTTTTCCGCTCAACATTATTATAAATAATCCATTTTCTATCCATCGTCACTGCTTGTTTCAAAAATGGTGTCTCCTCGTTGCGTTTATAGAGCGAGTTGCAAGTGAAAATGCGATCCATCAGATTTTTCTGCGTTAAATCGTGGGGACCCATACATCAAAACGCTTTATATAGCCAAGCTTCACAAAATGGTCGTGAATGGTGGATTTTGATATTTTGAACATTTTTGCTAGATCCGTGTTTTGATCTGATCTTCATCAGTGGTGGAGGACCTACCCGGGCGTTCGTGATCTTCAAGGTTGAAATCATCAGCTTTAAACCTAGCAAATCACTTCCGCGCAAATCCTTCAACTATAGCACCGTCTCTAAATGCCTATAATGCACTTTGTTTTCTTCCATATTTCAAAGCGTATAAAACTAATAAAAGTCAATGTATCGAAACGAAAGTTTCTACTAAAGATACTTGAAATATCACCTTTTAGAATATGTACACGAGTCATTAGTTTTCAATCATTCTGATATATTCAGACCTGACCTAATGCCAGCTACCGAAAACCGACACGAACTTTCCGAACATAGAATTTAACATATTTCATAATTAAGTATTTTATGTCGATTGTTATAGATATCTCATACTTCTGCAATATTTATACCATATCATTTCACTTCACCTTTGTCACAATGATGATAGCATCGCCTAATGTCATTGTAATAAAGACTTCATTGCTATATAGAAGTGCAAAGACTATAGGAACAGAAATTATATCTACGTTAATGCCTTGTGAATGCTTTCTACAACCAGTAATTCCTTTTTATGATATTCCACAGCTGTCTTTTTACACTTTTGCAATTTTTATCTGTTTGATCTTCTCTTTTGTTAGGGAAATTAAATTATACCGAATTATAATGGGAGAGATATTATTATTAAAATTATGAGGATTGTAAAAGAAGAACCTAAATAGAAATTAATTCGATATGAGGGATTTATTGCAATCTTTCGCGACGAGTACTATAAATACAATATAATGGTAGAAATACACGAGTAGAAAAGGAGAAAGAGAAAGCACGGAATAAATCCCAGTATAACGTATCAATATCAATATATGCTTTAATTAGAAAATACTTCAAAAATACATAGTTATAAAGCGTTATAAAGCGGAGAATTTATTGTTTGTTCGGTTATGAAAAACTGTATAAAAACAGAAGAATAACAAATTCCATCTCGCTAGGTTAAAATTAACACACGCTTTTATTGTTCTATCGAATGAATGCTATCTTGTGTTTGTTTTAAGCAGTACAAATTTACAATTTAAATCATTTGTTTGTAGAAGGCAAACAACTATACGGTTGACGTAACATAACAATTATCGATTACTCGTATCGTTTCGATACGTGTCACGATCTTTCTAGCGATTTTTATGAACTGCAACAAGATCGACGATACGATTACATGTCAAAGAAATTTATGTTCATCGAAGAACACACGTTAAGTCACTGCAACGCCCACGTATGCTTCTTGCTTTCCACAGTGCCAAGTTAGGTATCGATCTTGCATATTCAAAAGCAGATTAGATTACTTTTCCTTATGTGTGCTGATAAACAAATTCACCGCTCTATAAATTATTACAATTATCTACGCGAAATAATATTTACATTGAATAAAAAGAATCTGTTTATATTCGAATTACTTTCCGAGTTATATATCTCTGGCTTTAATATTTTTTTAAGATACCTCAGACGAATAAAGCAAGAGAAGCGATTATAAATGTTCTTTCTTATGATTATATCTTGTAGTTTTCCTCACCGTCACGGTAAATCGAAAGAAAACTAATTTTCTCGCCTTTTAAAATGTCTCTGCATACCTAATCTCGGTTTCACAAAAAACGGCAGTTGTTTATAATTCAAAGAAAGAATGATTTACACGAGCCACTTTACAAGACTGGTTTCTTTACTCGAGCTTGCATGTCAGCAATGAAATTTTTATGAACGAAATTATACAAACTTGACAAAGAGAAATAATACACGTTTATGTTAAAGAAACGTGTTACGTTATTCATATTTCCCAAATTGCGCTACATATTTTATTGAACGAACTGTTCTACTTTAATCTTCGTGTGATGCAAAAAAGTTATGAATATGTATCGCGTTGCAAGAGCACCGATAACATTAATATCCATGATATCAAACGAGGATAATATTATTAATATTAATAACATCGTCACTTTGCTCTCGCAACCAATTAGAGCATCATTAAAGACCTCTACAAACACAAACTTAATGAAACAATTGTTAAAAAGAATCGAATTGCTATATGAAAAAAAACTATATGCCATACTGAGACGTGATAAAAGTAGACGAGAACTCTGAAATATGAATATCGCTGATAAGTTGAACAAAAGTTACTATTATCATTTCGTGTGTTTCATTAGATATTCGCCAAATATACGTATGCAGCAATATAATATCCTAAATTGATAGAAAATAGTAAAACAGTAATTGGTGAATTCTTGATTTATTTAATGTATCTAATAGTAACTATATATTATGTAACAAGGAATTTTTTGGCATTCATACATGAATTTTAGAATTACTATTATAAGTAATTGATAGTATTAAGAGCATTTAATCGAGGAGTTATTTGGAATACTGCCGTATCCGACAAAATCGTGCTCCGAGATACTCAAAATTGAATTTTCCTTTTGTTTATAGAATCGCGATATTTATAAAAAGCCTACAAAATAGATAGTGCAAAAACTTCATTTTTAATATAGAAGAAAATGATATCGAGAAAAAACGATTACATTACTTCTAATACGAAATTACAGAGCTTTAAAGAGATGATATAATTCTGAACGTCCTTTTCTCGAATATCAATCTGGTTTCCACGTTACATTCCAACGATTACGACATTGAAAGTAGTTACGTATATACAGTGTCTCATTGAACGTACATTTAAGTAAATATAAAGCAATAAAAACAGATATAAGAATTTTTAAAGATATTTATTGAATAGAAAACAAATATGAGAGAAAAAAATTACATTTGTAGCTTAATTTGACGTCAAATTTTATCAATAGTAAATGAAATATTTATGAATTAATTTTTCTGCCTTATAACTCAATTTTCAATTTAGTTTTCAATTTAATTTTTTGCAATTTTACATTTCGAACGTATCGAAGTTATTAAGAGTGCGAAAGATAAATTCAAAAAAATACATGTATATTTAAAAGTGTCAAAATAAAAATTGATAAAAATTCTCTGTTGGCATTTCGTAAAAGTTCAAAATTCTTTAAAAGTGTCTCTTTTGTAGTTTTTAAAATATTAGATCGAAAAAGGGTGTCTCTCCAGAAATTCAGAAATTCACGTATAATGAAATCTGCAGATTATAAAAATGCGATAATCTGCAAAAAGGAATATTCCGAGAAACGCCCGCAGTCTGAAGAGCCCCTCGATAATCATTTAAGACATTTATGTAATTACAATTTAGTATTGAATTTTCTACGAGAATTATTTTTTCTACAATTGTGGCATTTGCTTTTTCTATTGAACTCTACACTAAAAACTATACGTATTTATTACCCTACCTTAAACCGAAACCGTAAACAACTGTTTCCTAAAATATGAAACAAAAATCCATGTAACCGTGCAATTGCCTTAATTTATTCGTTTTACGGCTAATCCTACTGAGGAATTTTTCGTCGCAGATTTTCGAGCTTTCGTTCCGCGTCAACTACCTTCTATAATTAAGTTAATTAAGAGAAAGTAGCTGCTGCGTATACTCCTACAAACCTATTTCCCAAGTGTTCCTAGGTATTTCAACGACCGCGAAAACGCGTACCTTCGTCGGATTATACTTGAAGCGAGAGGCAATGCGGTAAAATGAAACGAAAAAATAAGGTAAAAGAAAAAAAGAACGAGGAGAAAGAAAGAATGAAACGGCAACATCCATCGAATCCTTTGTTTCTAAGAATGGCTGCCAGCTCGTGGAGAACGCCGACGACTATTGCGTGCGTGGGTGACGCGTGCCTGACGTCAATTTATCGTCGCCGCGACGATAACGATTATTTTGTTGGGTTGCGCCTCCGTTATCGCGTTATCGCATTTTATTGGAGGCCAATGTCGAAGTCGGCGAAATGAAAAATTTACAATCCGCTGATTGATAAGACAAACGATTTCTTTGAATTTTTAGCGCAATGTTAGCTCCTGTTTCACGACGTATTGGTTAGACTTGCCACGATTTATTCGGAAAAACGCGAGAGGATTTTTCAATTTTGATTTTCTACCATTTTGGTTAACCCAACTGTAAATGTCCGTTATTTGTTGGAAATTCGTTCTCTTCTTACCCTTTGACGCATGAAACGGTGAATTTTGCTTTACTTGCAACTGGCAATGGAAATTAAAAAATATGAACTTGGGTATGAATTAATAAATATAAATTTCATATTATGGAATGTAATTATTGAAATGTTAGAGAAGGAAATAAACTGAATTTTTAGTGAGAAATTGCTTGTTCCAGGGAACAAAGTTATTTGATACCTGGTTCCGAATACAGCGAAATCGTATTATGGATCATAGTATCAAAATAATATTATATACAAAATAATATCATAATAAAGCTAATCGCCAACTAATCAATAATCGCCAACAAACTATGTATAGTTGATTATAATAATTTCATATACGTTCGATAAATACCCGTAGTCTATTAATCTCTATGTAAGTAAAGGGAATCGTTGCTTTTCCAATACATCAGGAAGTGATTCAGACACAGCTTCGAGCGGAAGACTCGCCGTAGCAAGTAGTAAAGTCTTATCGATGTCAGGCAGTTAGACAGTCAGACAAGCTACCACACCCACCGATTATTCTCGAACATTTCCTATCGCTTCACGATATTTAATATTAACCGTGATATTTTAAACCAATTTCCGTTGATTATTACGTCGAAGTACGATACTTTAGTTCTCTAATACGTCATCATAAATACTGACGTAACCGATAATCATCGAGACACGCACAGTGTAATATTATCTGTTTAACGAGCCTGATTGAACGCTACAAGAAAAAGTTTCCGGAGTTCTTGAACCGTGAAAGTACCAGGAAGTAGGATGCTTGTGACTTTTAATGATTTGACTAGAACTTTCAGTGGTAAGCTGAGCGAAATTGAGTTTCGCGTACGTAATTTGGGTTTGCACTGATTCGAGGATTGTCGATTCCTTTGGAAAGGCTTTTCAAAGGCTTTAAAAAGGAAATATGTATCGACAAATTACAGATTGTAAATTTGTTTGCTTACTAAATAGAAATATTACAAAACATTTTTATTATAGTGAATTGCTTTTTCCTTAGCGCGATTATAGAACAATCGAAGATGACATAAAGAGTAATTTAAAAATGAGTGTAATTTAAAATGGGTATATATAATTAAAATGTTATTATATGTTGTTGTATATATATTATATATTAGTATATAATTAAAAAATGTGTTTCATCTTGCAAAGGCTGTCCTTTTATTTAATCTTTTTATGAAATATGTATTTTTATCGCCAAATCGTTGCCTGAGAATCAATATTTGAAAAATATTATCCTTGAAAGAACTTCACAAATACCGTGTATAGTTAAAAGACTTATTTTTAGACCTATGGGATTGTTCCCATTTTAATTATGTCATGTTAAAATACTTTCTTTTGATTATTATTTGATTTTATTATTTATGATTATTCTTTGCACAACTTCTTAAGTTTACCGTGTATATTTAAAAGACTTATTTTCGAACCTACAGGATTGCTCCCATTTCAATTATATCACGTTAAAATAGTTTCTTTTAATGATGAAATGACATCCAAATCAGAAAATCGATAAAAGTAAATTTGTCGTACTTTCCTTGCATCTTCTTCAATCTAATATTAATATTGAATTAGAAAGCAATATAATATTTCATATGAAATTTTAATTTTTGCTTTTAATATTGAACAAAGTCTACAACATGACAATCAGATGTCAATTTCCAAATTTAGAAAAATTGTATTTCGCGTGTACCAACCTGGTAAAATGAAATGTAGAGAAAACATAAAATGGAATAATGAAACGTAATCATATGGAGTATGTTTTCATACTCCATGGTACGTAATATCATCGCGTAAATGCAACGTAAAGAAGACGTCTTATCGAGAGGAAAGGAATGATAACCAAGTATATGTAAGCGAAGAGGGGAAAGTTATCACGACACGAACATGCCAGTGGGCTAAAATAATTCTTTGCTATATTCTCTACAAGATCTTACTGCTTGTGTTTTCTAGCTTCCTGCTTTCCCTTCTACGTAGTTAGGAATCCTCTTTCTCCCTAGCCATAATTTTCGCGCATCAGCCTGCTCCGTAGTTTTTTTTTTTCTCTCCCCTTTACACACGCCCACGCAACTCCTCTCAGTGGCAATTTCCCCTTGCGTCCTCGAACTTAGTTCAAGGTGACATTCTATGGATGAGAATAGAGAATCTTACGAGATACTCATTGTTATTTCTGGCATACCGCCATTTTATTTCTACGAATGGGGCGCCATCGAGTCTTCTTTCTTTGGAGCGATTCCTTTTCCCCCCTGTAAATAAGCTACTGCGTATCAAGTCTGTTGGAAAGTTGTCATAAAGGGATTTTTCTCAGCTTAGGCAAAATATACTGAAGTGAATAAAACGACCTATCGCATTAGAACAGTTAGGAAAAATTCGATAAACTTGATAAATCATGGAAGCTTTGGAAGCGTGAAAAATTAACATGTTCGGTGTTAGTAATATTAACATTAACAAATAGCCACCGCATTCAAAATTTCGAAAACGGGTAATAACGAAAATTATTCAAACTTATATGAAAACACATTGTTCGAAGTTCTCCGTGCCCTTTCATAGCAAAATTGTTCAAAATTATTTTTTCATCGCTCTTATAGGATGAAATATATATGAATCGTTAACATTCCCAACGCTTAAGAAGAAAGTAAAACATCCTACAGAGGATTAACAGGATTTCATGCATTTAAAAATTATTTGAAGATCTAATGAGAGAAGACGTAGCTTAATGGAAGAGCTTAATGAAAGTCAAATAGAAACGTATTAGGAGATTGCATTCAAGGAGATTGCAGCTACTACAGTAAGGACGAAGAAAGTTTCGTATATATAGATGGAGCAAAGTCAATTGATCGCTCAAAGTCACTTAAACAATGTCACAAGATTACAACTGATCGTATCCTTTGTAATTTTACTATATATTTCGACTTTACTATATGTTTTGTCCGTATTTGAGATAGAATGTAATATACATATCGATAAAATTGGAATTGAAGGTAGAGAAGATGCTACCATACTTCCGGTGACAGACAACAACTCGAACAAACACTCGTCGTAGTTAAATACAAACTTGTTAGAATTGGTCGAGTTACAGATCGTTTAGATCGACAATGGTTTCTCGTTTTCTCAATAAATCCAAATTTCTGGAATCTTTTTTAATTATACAAAATTAAATCTTGTCTATGAAAGATATGAAACATTGGTTTTCCATTACAAATAAATAAATATGACAGATATTATCGATATCTGTTTTTCCTGCAGTATTTATATTCTTATTGCGCTTTTTGAAAGTTATTAAGTGATACATTATATATATATATTGCATTTCAATCATGCATATATATATATATATATTATATATATATATATTATATTTATATATATATATTTATATTTATAT